ACAGCTGATTGCTTTTGAAAAGATAAAATTCCTGTGACACGTTGGAAGGACAAAAAAATTCCTTTGAGAGATCTGTTCATGAGGATGACACAGATACCACTAGAACTTTTAAAAAAAATCGTGTCATTATCTGCAAGGCAATGCATACCACGTGAAAAAGGAGATGACTGACTATCCGTAGAAATATCTGAAGACCTTTTTTGTTTTAAATGCTGTTAAAGCAAAACAACTACAAAAGATTGCTTGAATACAAGGGAGAGAGTCTGCATAGAGTCTAGAAAAAGGGAGCCCCCAGATTGGGGACTTGTAGGGGGCGATGGGAACTCTCTGTTTTGACCGGGGAGACAGTTGCACCCACATATTCATTTGCTACGACTCATCGAAATGTTCCACTGAAGAAGGTGCATTGATCACTTCTAAGTTACATCTTCTCCACAGGGTTCGTTTTAAAAGAACATGTAGACCACGTGCCCTCCAGGAATGTCAGCAAGGCGGGTCGACCAGATCGCCCGCTCCGGGGCGGCGGGATCCGGCATTTATAGAGCGGGTCGCACGGCCATCAGCATCCCGTGTCACAACCCCCTCGGCCTGCTCCCACTTCCTAGAAGTAACAAACTCGCAGAGATGACATGACTTGAGGGAGCTCGCACAGCGCGATGCAGCGGGAACTTCCAGCTGCAGCCGAGATGGGGCGGGGGCGGGGCTTCGTCTCGGGAGGCGGGGAGGGGCAGGGCTTNCGATCCGTTGCCGGACACGGAAAAAGACAAAAGACAAAAAAAAAAAAGAAAAGAAAAGAAACATTCATCAATTATAGCTAAAATTATGGATTTAATGAATATAAAACAGCAAAAGCCATGAAAAGGATAATTGGAGAGGATGATTACAGAGCTACACGTGATCAAAATGGTGTAAATTTGATTAACAACTGAGAAGGTAAGTTTCCTACGGTCCTCAATTGAATAATCAAACTGTGAGGCATATAATTACAAGATTTAAGGAGGCAACAATCAGAAAACCATCAGGAATAAATCCAAGAATTCTTGTAAAATGAAGAAGAATATATAATTCAAGATCATTGTATTTTCTTCAAGCCAAAGCTAATTTAAAAATATATATTTAGGAGCCCCTGACCTGTTTTCTTTTTTGACTTTCCTAGCCTACTTCCAAAGTAAAATTCAGCATGGCTCTATATACCATTGGAGCTGCCATAGTAAGGGCTAAACCAAATACCCTTACTATGTTAGGTTATGTTACTATGTTAGCACTTTTCTTTTTCTTTTCACTTTGTTAAAGCTTTTAAAAATATGTTGAGCCTGGCTGGCTAGCTCAGTTGGATAGAACGTGGTGCTAATACCAAGGTCCAGAGTTCCATCCCTGTACAAGCAAGCCACTAAAAAATAAATTAACTAAAAATAAATAAATTAAAAAGTAAAAAAAATATATATATATATTTACACGGACGTATATGTTGAGGATTTTATTCTTTAAAACAAAAAAGCAAATAAGTCTTGCAGATAGGATAATAAAATAGGCCTGGTTTTCATTTGAACTAAGTACCCACAGCTGATTGCTTTTGAAAAGATAAAATTCCTGTGACACGTTGGAAGGACAAAAAAATTCATTTGAGAGATCCGTTCATGAGGATGACACAGATACCACTAGAACTTTTTAAAAAAATCGTGTCATTATCTGCAAGGCAATGCATACCACGTGAAAAAGGAGATGACTGAC